TCTGACGTGCTTCAGCCCATCGCTTGTTGAAAGGAACTCAGCAAGTGCAGGATCAGTTAAATCCTCTGTTCCACTTTCCTGTACCAAGTCTGTTTCGCCAAAATACGATTAATAGTTGAGTAATCTAACACGCTAAACTTCTAGCCAAGACTTTACCAAATGAAAATCTTCCATCTAACCACTTACCGCAGCCATTTTTTGCAAAAACTGCATGACTCTCTCAGGTGTACAAGTACAGTCTTCCTCAGTCATTCTTATCCTGGAAATAGGTTTGTGAACAATAGAAAGTATACGTTTATTTGATGGAACCGGAAAACATGAAAAAGAGAAGTGGAGGAGAAACTATGCGGCAGACTACGAGTCACTAGTACGATCAAGAGTCATTCAACTTGTGTAGTAGTTAGGAGATGACGGAAAGCAACGCCAGCTTGAAAACGACCGCGCTTTCTTACACTTTGAACGACGATGAATGCTGTAAACATTCGCTTGATGCAGAGGTTTCCTTACAAAATGGAACTAGTAGCTTTTACGAAGTCGTTCGATTACAGCAGCATTTTTTTGCGATAATTATTGATAACAAGCATCTGCATTAATGGCATTCCTTCAAATTAAGATATTAAATTTTGAGCATTGTAGCATAACCAAAAGTAACGATTAGGAACTGCAATGTACACTTTTTCAATGATACTCTTGCCCAAACGCGGGCCATCAATCACTGGTCGAAAGATGAGTAACGATAAATGCGTACTGTGTGACTGACGACGAAATAAGAGATAAGACTTACTCAAAGACCATTCCTTTTCTCCATAAAACGACCACATCTAATGCCCTTATTTGCAGACGGTGCCTATCATAAACAATTTTTTCCCCTAAAATTGACTTCACTTTCACATTGACGATAGTAACCTGTACAATTCTGCAGAAACACATCTTTGAAGATGTAAGTTCACTTAATTTTACTTTATTACTCAGATGGGAGGAAAATTTGCTTTGTTATTTGGTAATATTTTCACCACATCTTCTGCGCTAATTTAAATTTGGGAATCTGTAAATAAAAGACCTTCTCAGTGAACACTGATCTTGTTTTGAAATACCCTTAACTTTACCTTATTGACTTTCGGATCGATCTTTGCTAGCACTCAAAAAGCCAGCACGAATTGTCGGATGAAGTTGAAATTTACCAGCATTAAGTTCCCACAATAAGCTTTATTGATTGCTTTTTAGCACGCTACAAAGTTCCTACCAACTGCTTCTAGGAAATATATAATCGACGTGTTTAAAGGACATTGTCGGAAGTACGGCCAATGTTCAGCGGCTACATTGATCGTAGATATACGGAAACTGTGTGTCTACAATTAAAAAGCATTTATGAGCTTTCTTTACTACTCGCGGATTGCGGAAGAAATCCTATA